CTGGTGATCTACCCACCTAGCAGGATGTGGAAGAAAGACCTGGTGATCTACCCACCCAGGAGGATGTGGAAGAAAGACCTGGTGATCTACCCACCCAGCAGGATGTAGAAGAAAGACCTGGTGATCTAACCACCCAGCAGGATGTGGAAGAAAGACCTAGTGATCTACCCCCTGGGAAGATTATAGCCAAGAAAACCCTATAGAGCAGTCTGTTCAACCTGCTGCGAGCGGGAATCAGCTCAGTCATGAGGGTCGCCCCCAGTTTTCTTTTTCCAAGATGGAAGCCTCACTCCATTCTCCCCTGGGGGTTTCTAGGACTCAGTGAAAAATATCTCCTCATTGGAAATAAAGTGAGGCCCTTCCTAGGCCCCCATTTCTGGCCTTGTGCTCAGGTCACGCCCTCCACATGTGTGCAGAGGCTGTCCCCGATGGGGGACAGAGGGAGAAGCTAGCTGTGATCGAGTTAGTGTCTATTTATATATACGAATATATTTACTGTATAGTGTATATATAGTATATGTATATTATATGAGTATATAATATATACTGATGTGATACTCTGAATAGATACTGGTGTATATAAACACAGGATCATTTTCTGGGTACTATCAAGGCAACTGGAGCACGGTTTGTCTGATGGAGACTGTCCTCTTTCCCCATCACTTGACTCATGTCTTTATTTTTCCATGTGTCCTGCAAGGGAAGCCTTCGGTGAAAGACTCTCTGACTGTGGACCTTGGCAGGAGGCTTGGACAAGGGGCATGAGCACAGGAGCGAGCTAATCCAAAGACTTGAGCTTATAGGCAACGGGCGTTTCTTTCCTCAAGAGGGAAGGTACTGAAGAGACAAAGTGTCATTGTCATGACAAAGACCAAGATCAAGAGAAACATCATCACAGTGCTGTGGCACCACAGCCAAAGGCCCTTGGACGGACTGGCATGTAGATTCTAGTTATTTCCTTGTGGGGTCACACCCCCCCAGTCAGAAGAACCCTAGTTCCTATCCAGATCCCTCCTCACAAAGTCCTACATGTATGACTCTATAGCTAAAAACAAACTGGGGTCCTAGAGTGGCAGATGCCAGGGAGGTCACCCTGCGTCACAGTTCTCCCGCAGTCCTGATGCCCTGACCTATCACCTCAGTGAGCAGCTGTCTGTCTCATGGCATCAGGCCAAAATGGACCTGAACTCTACCCAGTCCCCGCCATGGAGGGGCGGTGGGCCATCCTGGGGAGTCTTTGCACTGCCCTTGAAAGCCCTCTGCCTACTTCCCTCCCACAGACAGAGGGGTGCGACTGGCTGACCTAACACTCAAATGTGATATTCTTTGAGGTATCAAGGTTTAGCTTCAAGATCCAAGCATACATGGCCCATAAAACAACCCATGAGCAACTATGAGAATACCACCATGAGAATACTAATTACTTACCAGTTCAATTTATCCGACTTTTCCACCTAAACTATCAGTGTAAGAGACACCGTAAGAGCTATGCCCTGTGGCTCTCTCCAAGCATCCCTCCCAGCTTGGCCTGTCTCAGCAGCTGCCTGTACCAGCCTTCTCTGGCCTGCAAATCCTGCTGGGGACAGGAGGATCTATGCATCTCTCTTTACACCCACCCCTCAGCTGATGAGGGTCTTACCAGCATCACAGAGCTAGCCAGTGTGGCCTGGGAGGAACAGGCACATGATGCATCTGTCCCCTGACAAATCTCAGCACCACAGAGCTCCCCCACAGAGGACCTGGTGGAAGCTTAATCCCAGGTGAGGGGCCAGGCACTGTCAGAGGTGAGAGTCCACTGTTGGCCCACCCTGAGGTCCAGGAAGCCAAAATGGGTCTGCAGGTTTCCAGGAACTCTGTCCCTCTTGGACACCATCCACATGCATCTGGGAGGGTCTCTGTCCAACTCTCAGCTCCAAGAGTGCAAGGACATGCCAGATAAAAAAAAACCCTGTGTGTTTGTGCCTGGGATTAGCAAAGACGCAGCGCCTGCCCTTGAGGACCAGGATAATATGCTAATGCAGAGTTGTCACAGGGGACCATTGGGGGGTGGGACACCACCCAAACCACATTCAATGGTCACCAGTGAACTTATTCTCGTCTTGTATTCCCTGGCTGAGTCTGCAGGGTTACTGGGATAGTCGCACATCTCTCGCCCTGTGCCGGGTGCAGACAGTGGAGTTCTCTCTGCCACGACGCCAATCCCTAATCTTTATGAGTGTGTGCTGTGGGAGGAGGGGAAGCTGAGTGTTTGCTTTATCCACACACCCACACATACACTTTCAAACTGCCCTTAGTAGATTCTGGCTCATGGTGATGTCCTGTACTACAAGCTCCCCAGGAACTCCCCAGGGTGTTCTTTCCAGGCATCCCTGGGTGGGTTTGAACTGCCAATCCTGAGACTAGTAGCTGAGTACTTAACTGTCTGTGCTACCCATGGGTTCCTCTTACAGATACTTAGATCCTGCTTCATCTCTAGTGTTGTTCCCATTTTACCAAGGAGGCTCAGAGAGGTTAAGAAAGGTGCCTGAGGCTGCAAACAGCAGTACAGCTGACAGCCAGTGTGTGGGGCCTTGATGCACACAGCTTCCTATTATGCGATGCTGTGCCCCCCGCCCCGTCGGAACTACCCAAACACACTGAAAGATTGGCCCTTTATTCACCTGTCTCTTCTGGAGAAATCGGGGCGGCAGCATCTGTTGGGTAGGTGTCTGTTTCGGCTGTGTGTGTCTCTTCTCCTGAGTACAAGGGACTCGAGGAGTCGGTATCAAGATGCGCCTCTGCAGGGCGCTGGGTTTGCGAGGTCCACTCAGACTCTGGGGTGCTGGTGCTGATGACAACATCCAGTCCTGAGTTGTGCCCAGAGAAGTCCCCATCAGTTTCAGTTCTGTCTCCAGAAGTTAGGAGCGTGGCTGAAGACCAGCCTGATGTGTCCGTGCTCGCCTCATAGGGAGCAGAGGGCTCTCCACTCATTTCTGCTGACCCTTCCCTGAGGCCATCCTGGAAGGCAGAGGGGCTGCCACTCCCGCCCTGTCCTGAGGCTGTTGCAAAATCAGCTTCGCTAAAGGTGGATGTGCTTCCACTCAGATCAGTGGAGGCTTCTCCGCTGGCCTCTGGGGCTGCAGATGCCCCCACCTCAGCCTCAGGGTAGGAAGACATCTCAGTGCTGGATATTGGGATAGAAGATGCTTGGACCCCAGGCTCAGAGAATGCTGGTGTAGCTCCACTAATGTCCCCAGATGCAGAGGTTTCTCCACTAGACTCAAAAAATCGGGAGTGTGTCACAGGAGGTCTTTGGCCAACTTCCTGGGAAAGAGTTGGCTCAGTGACACCCTCCACAAAATCAGAAGTGATTAAGGTGACTTCTGGAAGTCCTGAGGTCTCACCACTGGTGCCTGAGGCTGCAGATGATTCTCCGCTTACATCAGCGGTGCTAGAAAAGTCCCCACTAAAATATGGAGTGCTTGGAGATGCTCCGCTGGGTTCTACCAGCCCTGAGTGCCCACTTGGGTCCCAAAATCCAGAATGGTCTCCAGATATGTCTGGTGCTCCAGAATGGGCACCATCGATGGTCAGGATGCCAGAGGCCCCTTCTCCTGCTTCCTGGGCAGTTGGGGCCTGGGTTATAGATTCCACCAAAGTCCTGTCTATCAGAGAGATGGTGGGGAAACCAGATGGAAGCCCACTGCCTTCAGACGCCCCCGAGGGCAGGCTGCTCCCACTTTCGGCTCCAGAAGTGTCTCCACTGACCTCGGTTATTCCACTTGGCAGGCCACTGAATTCTGGGGCCTGGGATGGAAATCCACTGAAGTCGACTGCGCCAGAAGATTGTCCACTGACATCCACCATCCCCGATGTGCCTGATGGATCTGCTTCCCCGGAAGGAAGCCCACTGAGGTCCACAGACCCCAAGCCTTCTTCTTCTCTAAATGAAGTTGGAGTCACTTCTACCAAACTGGTGTCCACAAATGTAATGCCGGAAGATTCACCACTGCCGCTCACGGCCCCAGAAACAAGATCAGGGATTCCAGATGTCGTTCCACTGACCTCTGGCAACCCTGATGGCTGTCCACTGTGATCTGTGGCCCCAGATGTTTCACCACTTAGGTCCGTTGTATCAAATGTTTGACCACTGCCTAAGCCAACTCCAGACACGTCTCCACTGACATCCGGTTGTCCAGAGGACAGTCCGCTAAGCTCCGTCACTCCAGATGTTTCCCCACTGGCACCAGGAAACCCTGATGGCTGCCCACTCAAGTCAAAAGTCCCAGATGTTTCTCCACTGATGTCAGGGAAGCCTGAGGAATGCTCACCAATGCCAAAAAGCCCAGATGTTTCCCCACTGATGTCAGGAGACCCAGATGTCTGACCACTGAGTTCAGTCCCTGAAGGCAGTCCACTAGTGTCACCACTAAAGGGCAGTTCACTGAAGGGGAGTCCAGATGCTTCTCCAGAACCACTTATTACAATGGTTCCCCTCCCTTCCAGTTCCCCTGCAGTGGTGGCTGTGACCACTTCCACCAGGGTCGTGTCCACCAGGGAGACAGTTGGGAACCCAGATGGAAGTTCACTAAAGTCAGGTAGGCCAGAGGTGGTGCCACTTCCAGACTCCACCCCTGAATAGTCACCACTATATCCAGAGGGAATGCCACTTGCATCTGGAGTCTGCCCACTTCCAGAAGGCAGTGTGCCAAAGTCCAATGGTCCAGAAGTAGATCCCACCAAGTCTTCCACTCCAGAATGCAATCCACTGAGGTCCTCAATTCCAGAAGTAGAGGTCTCTGTACCTTCTCTCCCAGAAGGAAGTCCACTGAGGTCTTCTATTCCAGAAGCAGAGGTCTCTAGACTCTCTCTTCCAGAAGGAAGTCCACTGAGGTCCTCTACTCCAGAAGAAGGGATCTCAAGCGCTTCTCCAGAAGGATGCCCACTGAGTTCCCCTGTTCCAGAAGCAGAAGATTCTGGACCTTCTCCTCCAGAAGGAAGCCCACTGAGGTCTCCTATTCCAGAAGCAGAAGATTCTGGACCTTCTCCTCCA